TTTCAGGAAGGGAAATTGTATCATCTGCAAACCACATGTTGTTGATGAGTTTTCCTCCACGCCTTATGCCACATCCTCTTTTTAAAGCCCAGCTGATTGATTGATTTGCTCAGAATAAAGATTGACTGGATCTAGAAACTCTATGAACTTTGATAAATATTGATAGGTGTAGAGGAGCTTCAGGCCTTTTTGTTCATAGGGTCACTATGAGTCATGCTTGACTCAAAGACAACCAACAACAACAATAAATTTAATATATCTAGAGATAGTATATAGCCCTGCTACACAATTTTCTTGATTTTAAACCACACAGTGTTCTTTTGCTGCATTTGGACATTAGCTTTTTTGTTTAAGAATAAGGGCTACTGCAGAGTTTCCTAAGTCATAAAGCAAAATTTTCTTACCTGTTCTCAATCATTTCCCCTAATAGCTTTATGTGATTTTTCTGAAAATGTATTGTCTCTTTGCCAAGATATATAAAGTATTTGGATATATAGTCTCCTTTCTATGACCTCCTATCAAGGTGACTATGACTCATAGCAATCATCTGAACAACAGATCAAAACCTTGACTGTCCTGTGCCCTATTAAATTTCCTTTATTTTATATACTTTAAGGTACAACTAATAACTCATACTGTGAGTATGCTGGTAATCTCTCTGGTGTGACAGGAACATGTAAGGAGATCATTTCTACTGGACACAGTTTAAGTGATTATTGCTTTAACTTACAAAGGAAACTTACCACTTAATTACTGTAAATCTTCTCTCATTCATAATTACAAAAATAACTCACATTTATTGAGTGCTTACACTGTGTAAGGCACAGCTAAAAACCATGTGCATTGGTAATTCATTTAATCCTCTTCACAGCTTGTTATAACATGTACGTTTGAATTGAGGTACATAAGCGCACAGCATTGCAATGGGAAAGTCTGTGGTTAAAGACCTCTCTAAAGTGCTGAAGAGCAACGAAGTCAGTCTGGAGACTAAGGTGTGCCTGATATATGCCATGGGGTTTGTAATGACTTGCTATGCATCAGAGAGCTGGACAATGATTAGGAATGATAGAAGGATAATTGATGCCTTTGAGCTGTGGTGTTGGAAAAGAGTGTTAAATATACCATGAACTGCTAAGAAAATGAACAGGTTTGTCCTGGAGAGGGTGAAGCCAGGCTGCTCCTTGGAGTCAAGGATTCTGAAGCTTCATCTAACATACTTTGGGCATGTTGCAAAAAGGGAACACTCCTTGGAGAAGGATGTCATGCTTGGGAGAGTGGAGGGACAGTGCAGGAGAGGAAGACCCTCAATGCGATGGATTGATTCAATAACTGGAGTAATGGGGTTAGGTGTGTCAGAGACAGTGAGATCGGCACAGGATAGGGCAGGGTTTAGGGCTGTTGTACATAGGGTCGACTCAATAGTACATAACAACAACAAGAAGCAGCGCACAGCAATCATGTGCTTCTTTCCTTTATTATTTATTATTTGAAATACTGTTCGGCTTTAAATGATAACTTTGGAATAATGAAATATAAAAGAAGTAGAACATTGTTAAGTTGTAAAAATAAAATTTTAATAAGATACATATTTGGCTCGACCTCAAATTTGCATTCTATAAGCAAAGTTGTCATCAGTCTCTGATAAGTTGGCATATTCTGAGTAAGGAAGACATCTCTCATGACTAAGTTTGTGTTACTACAGTGGCATGGATGTTCCAACTTTATAAGACACTATGCCACCAGTATTTCAAATACAAACAGGGTCACTATGGTGGATATATTTCAGCAGAATTCCCAAACTAAAATGGACTAGGAAGAAAGGCCTGGTTATTTGTTTCCAAAATGTAACCATTGAAAACCAATGGATCATAACAGAATATTGTCTGATATGGTGCTGGGAGAGGAGTCTTCTATGTTGAAAAGTGTCACACGATGGCCAGAGGGTACAAACATATCAAGAAAAATTAATATGACTCAGGAGTAGAGCAATATTTTGTCCTGACATATAAAGTCACAATGAGTCAGAGCCAATCAATGTAACAATAACAAGGAAAGAAGAAAAGAATTATCTCATGTTTGTACTGGTGTCTTCTTCCTAGTAGAGAGACTTCATAAATATGTCAAATTTTTCACCTTTTATGCATTCAGTCTGTCAGTAAAGAAATATTTACTGTAAATCTTCTATTTGCCATTTCTTAGAATAAACATTATATATCAGTGATGAACACAATTATAGTATCAGCCAAATTCAACTGAACAATTATGTAGTCTAATTTGGGCTCATCAAAACCTATACCTTAACCAAGAAGATGTTGTCCAAACAAAGCCGGGAACATTGCATGGCTTAAAAACAGGAAAGGTGTGTACCAGGCTGTATCCTTTCTCCATACCTATTCCATCTGTCTGCTGGGCAAATAATTCAAGGAGCTGGGCTTTATAAAAGAAGCATGTGGAGTCAGGATCGGAGGAAAACACATCAACAATCTGTTTTAATGCACATGACACAACCTTGTTTGCTGAAAATGAGGAAGATTTTAAACAGCTGCTGCAGGAAATCAAATATGGATTGCATTTCAGCATCAAGAAAACAAAAATCTTCATCACTGGGTCAAAGATAACATTATGATAGAAGAAGGAAAGATTGAAGTTGTCAATTATTTCATCTTACTTGGATCCACAATTAATACTCTTTTTAAAATTCTTTTTTAAAAAATTTTCCTACTAGTTTATTTACAAAATTCAAATACAAATTTGAACAAATTCTTTCAATTTCCCTCACCCCACCCACCCATCAAATTGTACAACCTAATGATCAATCCCTTCTACCCCCTGCACATCCACATCCCTCTGCTTCCAGCAGCTCCCACCCCTCCTGGATCCTTATACACATTCTATAATAACGGTTTTATACAACATTTATCCTTATGTGACTTAGTTCACTCAGCATAATGCTCTCCAGTCCTTCCCAAGTTAGGTAATAATTTACAAACTCTTGGTACAAGCAGGCAAGAAATGAAAAGATGTGTTGCACTGGGAAAGTCTACTGTCAAGGATCTCTTCAAAATAATAAGAAGAAATGATGCCAGTTTAAAGACAAAGGTGAACCTGATTCAGGAGAGTGTTTTCAATCACTTGCTATGCATCTGAGAGCTGGACAATGAATAAGGATGACAAAAGAGTTATGGTGTTAGAGGAGAATACTGGATATCCCACGAACTGCCAAAAGAATGAACATATATGCATTGGAAAAAATATAATCAGAGTGCTCCTCAGAGGTAAGGATGAAGAAGATTCATCTCATATGCTTTGGGTATATGGTTAGGAGAAGTTATTCCCTGGAAAAGAATATCACCCTTGGAAAGGTGGAAGGTCAGCAAAAGAGAGAAAGATCCCCGATCAGATGAACTGACATAATGACTTCCGCAATGGTTTTCAAGTATGTCAGAGTTGATGAGGACAGAACAGAATAGGACAGGGTTTTAAACTGTTGTTCATAGAGTTGCTATGCGATGTACTCAACTCAATTACCCCTAACAACAATAACAACAATGCCAGGAATGATAAATTGAAAAGAGGTGGTGTCATATTCATTATCACAATGACCATTTCTATGACTAATATTTGTGACATTTAGAACAAAAGTGAAAGCACAACATTGTCAGTGATAGCATAAGACACATGTGGTTGCTGTTGTTAGCTGTCAGTCAACTCAAGTACGACTCATAGCGACCCTATGAACAGTGGATCTGAACCCCGTCCTATCCTGTGCCATCTTCACACTTCCTGACACACTAGAGCCCATTGCGGCTGTCACCATGCCAATCCACCTGGTTGAGGGTCTACCTCTCCTTCACCAACCCTCCACCTTTACAAGCATCATGTCTCTCTCCAAGAAATAGCCTCTGCTAGCAACATATCCTAAGTAAGTGAGACAAAGCCTCATCGTCCTTGTCTCCAAAGAGCACTCTGGCTGCACTCTCTTCAACACATTTTTTGGTTGTTGTTCTTTTGGCAGTCTATGGAATGTTTATTGGATGTTTAGTGTCTTCTCCAACATCAAAGATCAAAGGCATCAATTCTTCTTCTGTCATCCATATTCCTTGTCCAGCTCTCAGATGCATAGCAAGTCATAGGAAAAACCATGGACTGAATCAGACACACCTTAGGCCTCAAACTGACATCTTTGCCTTTCAATAATTTGGAGAGGTCCCTAACTTGCTTGCTCTCTACAAAGTAGAGTAGCAAAGCAAAAGGAAGAAATGAAGTAAAAGAACTAAATAGATTTTAAGAGGCAGCTCAAAAAAAAATAAATCAAGTATTGGAATGAATTATGCAAAGAACTGAAGTTAAGAAACCAAAAAGCGAAGGACACACACCAAATAGAATAGGCCCTTGTTCAACCACTTCAGAACGCATTAATGCACTATAGCACGTGATCAAAGATTTGTGGTGCTGAATAAAGAAGTATAAACTGCACTGGGGCACTAGTGAAAAACAAGGTTCTAGGAACTGACATCATATTAACTGGGATACTCAAGAAACAGATGAAACACTAGAAGGTCTTACTTGTCCATGGCAATAATTTTGGAAGGCAGCTAGCTACATGACTGGAAGAAATACCTATTTGTGACAATTCCAGAGAAAGATGAACCAAGCAGATTCAGAAGTTATCAAACAATATCCATAATGTCATCAACAAATAAAATTTTCTTGACCACCATTTAAAAATGGTTGCAGCAGTACATTAACAGAGAACTACCAGAAATCCAAGTAAAATTCAGAAGTAAATATGGAATGAAGAGTTTCAATGCTGATGTCAAATGGATCTTGGTTGAAAGCTGTAAACAAGCAGGAAAGTATTTCTTATGCTTTACAACCATCCAAATGGCATTTGACTAAAGGACCATAATAAGTTTTGGATTGTATAATGATAAAGACGGAATTCCAGAACACTTGATTGTGCTGATGGATAAACCAACAGACAAATTTTCAAACAGAACATGAAGGTAATGTGTGCTTTTAAACTCAGGAAAGGTATGTGTCAGGGTTGTATTCTTTCACCATATTTTTTCAGTCTGTATATTGAGTAAATAATCCCAGAGACTGGAATATAGAACACATCATTAGAATGGGTAGAAGACTCCAGTTAACAACCTGAAGAAACAGTCAAGAAATCAAATAACATATTACTTGGAGTAACTGAGCTGCAAAAGACACCTTTAAAGTATTTTTTAAAAGCAAACACGTCACTTTGAGGACTAAGGGATGACTCTTCCCAAGCCATTTACTTTCAATTGCCTGATACACATGCAAAAGCTAGATAATGAACAAATAAAAAATTGAAGAATTCATGCCTTTGAATTGTAATAGTGGCATAAAGTATTGACTATGTGATGCACTTGCGGAACAATGAACAAACGTCCTTACAGAAATACAGCCAAGTTTCCTCTGAGAATAGTGAGACTGAATTCTATAGATTTTGGAAATGTGATTAAGAGGACAGACACAAACACTAAAGAATAACATTAAGCTTAGTAGTTGCCGTTGTCGTTGTTGATTGCTTTTGAGTTGAGCACAACTCATAACATTGCTATGAACAAAAGGCCTGAAGCCCCTCTACAACTATTGACATTTATCAAAGTTCATAGAGTTTTTGGAGGCATGTTAGACAGTGAATGCCACTCCTGCAGGTAACGGAAAAGAAGACACTTAACAAGGTGACTTGACTTCATGGCCACAACAATGGGCTCAAACATAGCAATGATTCTGAGGACAATGTGGCAGTGTTTCCTTCTTTTGAACACAGGGTTACTATGAATTAGAAAGAACTTAATGGCACCTAACAACTGTTGCTCCCTCCCTGCTCTGAGGGTGCTCAAAAAAAAAGTATTCTAAGTGACAACACATGGTAATTAAGTTACCCATGAATGTATAATTTCAAAATTATATTTCTGTGCCCCCTCCCCCAAAAAAGGCAGAAACATGAAAGGATGATGTAAGAAACCATCTTCCTTATGGAAGTGGCCCTTGAACTGGAAGGTGGTGGCACTGACAGGTTTTTAAAAACAGTTAATCAAAACAGGAGATTGCTCATCTTTCTCCCAAAGAACAGCTGGTGGATTCAAACCACATGCCTTCAGGCTGGTAGCACAGGTCGTTACTACTAGGTTGCATACCAGAAGATAGGAAGGAAAATAAGAAAGGAATGAAATAATACAGACTATATGGGAATTTGTCATTAGATTTCTCCATAAGAAGCTTACTGATGAACAAAGCAAAAGTTTTGTTAGAGTATATACAAGGTGGAAGTCAGACAAGAGTGTCCTCAAGAAGAAGTGATGTTGTTGTTGTTGTTATATGCTGTCGAGTCACTTGTGACTCATAGTGACCCTGTGTACAACAGCCCTAAACCCTACTCTATCCTGTGCCAATCTCATTGCCTCTGACACACCCATCCCAATTACCCCAGTCACTGAATCAGTCCACCTCATAGAGGGTCTTCCCCTCCTGCGCTGTCCCTCCACTCTGCCCACCATGATGTCCCTCTCCAAAGACCTGTCTCTTCTTACAACATGTCCGAAATATGTTAGATGAAGTCTCAGGATCCTTGCATCCAAGGAGTAGCCCAGTTTAACCCTCTCCAGGATGAATCTGTTTGTTTTCCTAGCAGTCCATGGTACACTCAATACTCTTCTCCAGCACCACAGCTCAAAGGCATCAATTCTCCTTCTATCCTCCCTAGTCATTGTCCAACTCTCTGATGCATAACAAGTGATTGTGAAGACCATGGCCTGTATCAGTTGCACCTTAGTCTCCAGAATGACACCATTGCTCTTCAGTACTTTGGAGAGGTCCCTAACAGCAGAATTTCCCATTGCAATATGTCTTTTAATTTCCTGGCTCCTGGTGCCGAGAGTGTTGACTGTGGAATAAAGTAAGAAAAGAATACTTTCAAGACGCTAAGAGTTATGTGGAGAAAAGGTAAAACAGCAGCATTAGCTAGAGAGGAAGGGTCAAAAGATGAAAATAAATAAATATGGTAGTTCTTTTTTCTACCCCATTCTCTGTTTATAATGTTTAAAACACATGGGCAAGGTAATTCCAGAGTGACAAGTGCTTGGATAGGAACAAAAACTGTTTGCATTCATCCAGAGCTATTCACTTGTTAAAATTTATTATGTACAGACAAATCAAAGTTCCATTATAAAAAATCTCTCTTTAGACAAGATTTATCAATCAAAATGCTTCTTTGGAATTACATTTGCTATGGAATTTTACTTGTTTTCCAATTTTTAAATAACATATTGATTCAGTAACTAGAGTAATGTGTCAGAGACAATAAGATTGGCACAGGACAGAGCAGGCTTTAGGGCTGTTTAGGGTCACTATGAGTCACAGGTGACTCGACGGCACATAACAACAACAACATTTAAAAAACAAAGTTTTACACAACGGACTAGCATTGCATAATCAGTGTAAATATATATGGTTTTAAAATCACTGTCATTAAAATCACTTTATATGAAAAATCTGTCAGGCTAATGTGGTGTGCTAGCATCTACTTTAGTGGATTGTATAGACCCATAGCATTTGACAGGCTGATTAAATTAGCTATTTAGAAAGAATATTAACTGTTCAAAGCACTAACAGATTACTCCTGCTCTGAGAGATCAGCTGTTGCTGCTAATGTGAATATAACACTTCAAAGGAATAGTCTGGAGATGACATTCTATCAATTTAAATTCCCTTTGAAGTCAATTTTATCAGCCTAATATCAGATGCATTCTCACTTTTATCATTAAGTCCCCCTCATAGATGCATTCATTGCCTGAAGAAGCTTATTAACCATTTTTTTGTTAATAGGAAAATATTGCTCTGCACTGTGACTAAATGGACTCCTCTGATACTTAAAAGAAATTTAATATAAAGCTTTTAAGTACCCAACATTACATTCAAGGACAAAGAAAATTAGGTGTCATGTAGAAATTGTCACAAAAATTGATCCCATTATCTTTGGCTCTTTCTCTACTGCTATTCCCTTTTCTCTCTGCTCCTTTGGCCCCTATCTGTTAATCTACAAAGAAAGGAATCGGAAAACAAACAGCATATTTAATAAACTCACGAGAGAGCCAATGTTTACCAGATACGGAAATTTCATCCTAAGCAAATGGAAGAAAGCGGAGCTGCACGTCTCATCGAAGTGTGTGAGATACACTGACAAGTTACAGATTAAATGTTATTTTCAAGCCGTCGCCTGGATGCTAATTCAATTTCTCAGAAACTGAGCCGAAGAAAAATGTCAGCGCTGTTTCGGAAGCACCAAATCACAAAATAGGGAATGAGCTACTTCATCAGACAGACAGCTGGAAAATTCTTTTTGTAAGATATTTCTTTTCTATCTAAGCATGAGACCTAATTTTGGCTGAAATTTGAGTCAGGAAGAAGCATAGTGAGTGTCTCTCCATCAACATCACCACTCCCTGACTCTGGAAAGCAGTGTCCCACACGCGCAGAAGTCACCCCTGTAAAAGCGCCCTCTTACACCCCACCCTGAGGAAAAATCATTTAGAGGCCCTTGAGGACGAAAGTACCCCAACACACTAATCTGATCCGAGGATCACTGTACGGAGGACCATCTCTCGGCGCGCACCAGTCAAACACAGCTGGAGCAAAGACACAGAGGAGCTGAGGTGCGATCTAGGTCTCTGGATGCTGGGGTGCATTCGTGCCGCCCCCAGATAAAGCTCAGGGGAAACAGTGGGCAGGGGCGGGGCAGGGAGTGGGCACACCCCCTTTCTCTCCCTTTACCCGGCGGCTTTTCCCTTCGGTGGCTGAAGGACGGCCACTTGGTCTGGTGGGGTCTGCACGCTGACTGGCGGCTGAGCCAGCCACCTCTTGGAGTGGGCGAGCTCCGGGGTCCCAACTCCAGGATGCCATCCCTGGACACAGCTGTGGGGAGACACCGGCGGCTGATGGCTGCTCTCACCTGGCTGCTTCTGAGCTGCCCTGCGCTGCGGGCACAGGTACCTTCCCCTGGCACAAAGCCCCAGCCTGAGCTCTATCTGCCCGACCCCAGGGGCACCCTTAGGGGCCGCATCACCGCCAACGCCTCTGGCATCCTGATCGCCAATCCTGTACTCCGGGTGCCTGTGGGACGCTCGCTTTGGCTGGATCCCCTCCGGAACCTGGAAATTCGGGTGCAAGCCGGGGACCGGTGTGAAGTGACAGTTCTGGACGCCCCGTGGCGGCACCAGGGCGCGCTCTCCCCGCGCCACTTTCCCTGCGTCTTCGGACCCCTGCAGATTCGGTACACTCACTTTGGCGCCCGCAGCCCTGTGCGCGCCCGAGTGCCGCTGCAGCTGCGCTACGACTCCTGGGCTTCCTCCCTGGTGCTGCCTTTCACCCTCGCTGTGGATGTGGTCTTCTCCCCGCTGGAGCTTGTGACGCGCAACAGGCCTTTGTCAGTGCAGAAGCTCGGGGGCTGGAGTCACGCCATCGACCGGACAGTGCTGGACTTCGCCTTCCCGGAGTCCCGAGCCACAGTCGCCCGGAGGTGCCTGCTCACCGCTCTTCCACGCGAGGGAGGGCCACTGCCCAAGTATGGGCGCTTGGTGGACGCTGTGGGGACCCCTCTCCCCAGGGGCAGAAGCGTAGACTGTGAGATTTTCATCAAAGCTGGGGTGCGCTACCAGCATACGGCTACTACCCCCTCGCCCAACCGGGACTATGTGCCCATGATGGCAGAGCTGCTAGGAGCAGAGGACCAAAGGGCTGGACCCGCGAGGGTGCTGGCCCGCGAGTACTTCCAGATGCTGGTGAAGATCCCTGAGGGAACCGAGAACACAGCCCCCCAGCCCAGCATCCTGGCCACGATGACGCTGGACGTTTATCAGTACATGCTGACAGCCCTGACGCCTGGCGTCCTGGCCGCAGAGGACACAGAATCTGACCCTGATGACCTGGCTTTCAACATTCTCAATACCCACACTCTGTCGTCAGAGTACCTGGGTCAGCAGGGGTACCTTGTCAGTACTGATGACCCCCTGGGTCTCCCAGTCTTCACTTTCACTCAGCGGGAAATACGGGAGCTGAAAATTGCCTATCAACCCCCCATAGAGAAATCGGATGAAGAGTTCATCTTCCAGCTGAAGCTGGAGGTTATAGATGGAGATGGTGCCACCTCAGACCCTTTTTCCTTTGCGGTGATAGTGAAACCAATGAACACCCTGGCCCCAGCAGCGACTCTTAACAGAGGCCTACTGCTTTTGGAAGGCCACTCAAGGCCCTTAGACAGTGCACACAACCTGCAGATAAGTGACAAAGATGGACTGGAAGAGGTGAAAGTGTTTGCAGTCAAGGGCTTGAGACATGGGCAGTTGGTAAAGCCTGGGACATCTGGTAGGAGCAAGAATTTTACAGCATTAGACCTGACAGCAGGCCGAGTGGTGTACCAGCATGATGGCAGCGATACCTATAGTGACAACATCGTCTTCCGGATGGAGGATGGGAGCCACCAGGTGGAATTCCTCTTCTCTGTCACCATCGTACCTGTTGATGATGAACCACCAGTGATCACTGCCAACCAGGGACTATCACTAGCTGAAGGGCAGGTGGTCCAGATCTCGCCCTTTGTCCTGAGTGCTAAGGATGTTGACTCAGAGGACTCCACCATCCGCTTTGTGATAGAGAATCAGCCTCTGGAAGGTGGGGGAGGAAGACATTGGAATCCGCCTCCTGGCCCTTCCTGCCCAAGCCAATACCTGGGGGAGATGCTGCTGCAGCAGGCAGAAGCACCTCTGTTTCCCATAGATCAAGAGTGGCATTACGTGGAAAAGAAAGGACTTTATCAGAAAGTGGTGACTGAGTGGCTACAGCAAGATATAATGGAAGGGAAACTTTTCTTCCGCCATCTTGGACCCCACAGTCCTCGACCTGTAATGAGTCACCTGACTTTCCACGTGCAGGATGACCATGACCCACCCAATCTATCCACCCAGCACTCCTTCGTTATCAAAGTTAAATCAGTGGATCTGCTGAGGCCTGAGTTGTATCCTGGAACCACTCTACAAATGAATGTGCAAGGACACCAGCTCACATACTTCCAGAAGGAATTCCTCCATTATTTTGACCGGGACTCAGATGACCAGAATGTACAGTACACTCTACTGACACCTCCGACTGACATAGATGACAACCACCGAGTCTCAGTGGGGAAAATTGTGCTCACTGATGCACCAGACACACCCATCAAACACTTTACCCAGGCCCAGGTAAACCATCACAAAGTTGCTTACCAGCCTCCCCAGAAAGAAGTAGGTATAGCACTCCAAGTTGTGCAGTTCACCTACAAGGTGGAAGATGCCGCAGGCAATGGCATATCAGGCACATTCACGTTATTTCTGCAGCCTTTGAACAACCAGCCTCCAAAAGTCACGAACAGAGGCTTTGCTGTCATGGAGGGAGACAGCTTTACCCTCAGCAATAATGAGCTGGATGTTACAGATCCTGATACAAATACGGATCAAATAATTTACAAGTTAGTGTGGGGACCCCAATATGGATGTCTGCAGTACTTGAAACAATGTATGATCTCTGGAGAGTCTTTTATGCAAGTTGATATTCTAAATGGGCATGTTTCTTACCAGCATGACAGAGACCAGACTACCCATGATACTTTGCATCTGGAGGTAAGTGACAACATAAATTATGTACCTATCACTGTCCTGATTACTGTGCATCCTTTTGCTGACAAGAGTTCTAAGATCTTTACCATGGATAGCCCATTGTTGGATGTATCCATAAATGTACTAGAGAATAGATCCACTGATATCGTCATGGACATTATTTATGATAAAAAGAAGGACTCAAATGACTCAATGTTTAATTTTATTGCAGAGGATGGCCCTAAACTGGGTATTATTCTAGTGAATGGTTTGCCCACAGAACGATTCACCCAAGAGGACCTTATCAGTGGAGCAGTAACCTATGTCCACAATGGAGGTGAAATTGGCTCCCAGAAGCAGCATGATGCCTTTAGTTTCACCTACTGCATAGATTCTTGTCAATGGGTATTAGGAGACAGCACAGAAAAGAGGGTACAGGTACAAGTGACTGTGCTGCCTGTGGATAATGTAGCCCCCAAGGTCTCCATGGCAGAGCCTTACATTGTCTATGAAGGTGGGAAGAATCCTTTGACCTCCCAACATCTCAATATTGTAGATGTGGATACTCCTCAAGATAAAATCTTATGCACAATTACTGGTCAGCCAATCTCTGGCTACCTAGAAAATACCGCACCTGCTCCTGGCTCAGAAACGTCAAGGATGGGTAGCCCCATCAGTGCTTTCTCCATCAAAGATGTCCAGGAGAGACATATCAATTATGTTCAGAGTATTCACAAGGGTGTGGAGCCACAAGAAGATAGATTCATCTTTTATTGCTCTGATGGCATCAACTTCTCCCCCAACATCTTCTTCCCTATAGTCATCCTACCTATCAATGATGAACAGCCAGAACTCCTCACCCATGAGTTTGTGGTGTTAGAGGGGATGAGCTTAGTCATAGACACTCTGCTACTCAATGGTGTAGATGCCGATCAGCCACTGAATGATCTTCACTTTCGACTCACAGGCCTCCCTCAACATGGACAAATTATACAGCAGCTGGCCACAGGCAGCCGGCCCATCGAGAGCTTCACCTTAGAGGAGATCCAGGAAGCTTCCACCATTGTGTACGAGCATGATGATTCAGAGACCACAGAGGACAGCTTTGAAGTCTGGCTGAGTGATGGCAAGTACGCCATCCACAGGAAAGTACCCATCACAGTAATCTTGGTAGATGATGAAAGCCCTCAACTGGCTGTCAACAATGGGCTGGACATAGAGGCTGGACACACTAAGGTCATCACAAATCAAGCCCTCAAAGCCACTGACCTTGACTCTGATGATAGGAGGCTCAGTTTTATTCTCCGTTCTGGTCCTCAACAGGGATATCTACAGCAACAGACAAAACCCAGAGGGGAAGTGAGAAAGAACCTCACATTGGGAATGAACTTTACCCAGGATGACATTGACAGAGGGCTCATATTTTATAAACACACAGGCCAAGGGAGGGTTCTAGACATTATCAAATTTGATGTGACTGATGGGGTTAACTCTTTGATAGACTGTTACTTCTATTTTACAATTGGCAACTTAGATGGATTCTTCCCTGCGATGGTCAGCAAAAGGATCACTTTGAAAGGTGGTAGAACGCTCTTCACCACACAACTACTCAACACTAGTGACATCAATATCCCTGATGAACAACTCTACTTCAGCATCACACAGGCCCCTAGCCAGGGCCACATAGAAAGCTCTGACCGCCTGGGAGAACCCATTGCCTCTTTTACTCAGCTTCAGTTGGCTGAAAACAAAATATTCTATATTCACACATCAAATGATGCAGTAAAGATGGACAGCTTCCAGTGTCACGTGACTGATGGACACAACACTGTGTTTAAAACCTTCAGGATCTTCATTACCGATTTGGATAATAAGCCTCTCTTAACCATCCGCAAACTAGTACTGCAGAAAGGGAATAGTAAACTCATCACTCCTTCTGAGTTGACAGCCGAGGACAAGGATACTCCAGATGATCTTCTTGAGTTCACCATCACCCACGTCCCCATCCATGGTAAAATCTTGTTTAATGGCAGTCATCCTGTTTCTTCCTTCACCCAGCAGGACGTGAATGAGAATTTGATCAGCTATTGGCATGATGGTAGTGACACCAGTGAAGACAGTCTCTCTTTGGCTGTGACAGATCACGATCATACTGGTTTCTATGTCTTCCCAGACACGGACTTAGAGACACACAAACCTCAGGTAATGAGGATCCAGATAAGCTCCCTCAACAACAAGCCTCCCCAGATCATCATTAACAGAGGGGCCCAGGTCTTAAAGCACCTTCACTCTGGACAGATGGGTTTCTTCATAACCAGTAAGCCTCTAAAGACAGAGGATCAGGACAATTCCCACTGGTACCTGAAGTACAGGGTGACCAGAGGCCCAGAGCATGGCTTCCTTGTCAACACTGGACATGGAAAAGAGAACACAGATGTGTTTACACAAGGTTAGTACTCAGTGTCCCCCAGGTGTCACTGTTCCTCTCCATTGCATCAGTTTCTCTGTATGCAATTGCTCTATCTCAAGACCATATGCAGAAAGTTTCAGAGTCTTCTGAAATGGCATAGCATGTGCAAGTATTCTCAAAACAAGCAATGAATTATTTGTTTTTCTATTGTAACAGAACATGAATGGTCACTTAACAAAACCGAGCAAATATTTACTAAGGCTGTAGTTATGCCTTAAAACAACAAAACTGGAACAGATTCTGCTTCCAAAACATTGTGAGATAGATTAAGTATGATAATATTTGTTTGACTTTTGATTTTAAGTGTAGATAATTTAAAGATATTTGGTACCCAGAATTTGGAAATGAAGTCTTATGCTATGCACATCTGAATTGTATCATGTTGTTTTTGTTGTTGTTGTTAAATACCATCGAGTTGCTTATAATTCATAGGTCTGAACCCTGCTCTATCCTGTGCCAACCTCATAATCTCCGACACCCCAACTACCACAGTTACTGAGTCAATCCATCTCATGCAGAATCTTCCTCTCGTGTGCTATCCCTCCACCCTCCCAAGCACAATGTCCCTCTCCAAGGTCTGGTAATTTTTGCATCTATAAAGAAAGTATAGAGCTAACTTTACATGGCTGTGTATGGGGTATATTTTAAAAATCATTTTCTTTCCAGCTAGTGTTGCTGTTAATGGTGAAAAGGTTGGTTTTTGTTGTTGTTTTTTTTTTTTAAAAGGCATTGGCATACAGCCAGACCAACTCATAGTTGACCCCAAGAGAGTTTCCAAAGCTTGTAAAAGGCATGAGATGAGATTATTCATCTTTCTTGCCCAGAGCAGCTGGTAGATTCAAACCTCTTGTCATTAAGTTAGCAGCATCCTTCCTTACTCAGCAGGCCATCAGAGCTCCCTAATAGTGAACAAGAGATGAAGGAAAAGTGTCCTGATTTCCCAGATAATGTGACAAAGATATGCATCTTTTAATTACTCTTTAGATAGTCTTCCAATGACTTTAGCTGGATTTATAAATGAGATGTGAAGAGACATGGAATTTACAACTTATGATATCTTTAAACCTATATGTAGAATTGGTATCTTTGAGCTGCGATATTGGAGAATACTGAATATCTCATGGACTGCCAAAAGAACAAAACAGATATGTCTTAGAGAAAGTGCAGATAGAATGCTACCTGGAGGCAAAGATGGTCTACATTCTTCAGGCATATTGTGAGAGAAAGGCTATTCCTTGGAAAGGAACATCATGCTTAGAAAGATGGAAGATTAGCAAAAGAGACGAAGACCCTTTAAAAAAAAATACTAGTTTATTTACAAAATTTGAATACATTGATTTTGAGAACAGATTCTTCCAATTTCCCTCGGCCCTTCACCCATCAAATTGTACAAATCTATGATTAATTCCTCCCCCCCCCCCGACATACATTCTCATCCCTCTGCTTCCACTCTCCCCCCGCCCCCTTGGGATCCTTCTACTCATTCTATCTTAATGATTTTATACAATGCTTGTCCTTGTGGGACTGAGTTAGTTCACTCAACATAATGCTCTACAGTCCCTCCCAAGTTAGGTAATAATTTACAAAATCATTGCTCTTGCATGCTGCATAGTGTTCCATTGTGTGAATGTACCATAATTTCTCAATCCATTCATTTATAGTTGGACATATGGGCTGTTTCCATGTTCTTGTGATGGTGAATAATGCGGCTATGGACATTGGTGTACAAATCTCCTTTTGTGCCTCATTAAGAAAATGTGTTCTCTTGTTCTCAGGGTATATTCCAAGTAATGGAATAGCTGTGTCATATGGAATTTATATGTTCAGCTTTTTGAGGTAGTGCCAAACTGACTTCCAGAATGGTTACACCATTTTACATTCCCACCAACAATGTGTAAGAGTTCCTCTCACTCCACATCCTCCCCGCATTTATTACTTGTTGCCCTGCTAAACTTTGCCACTGTCATTGGAGGGAGAGGGTACTTCATTGTGATTTTGATTTGCATCTCTCTTATTGCCAGTGATTTTTAGCAATTCTTTATGGATCTGTTTGCCATTTGAATATCTTCCTCTGTAAAAACTTTTTCCATGTCTTTTACCCATTTTTTAATTGGGCTATCAGTGTATTTCTTATAAAGACCTAGGAGTATTCTGTAAACATTTATTTGTATGAGATAGTATAAGAGCCAAAGACTCTTAATGAGCTGGATTGACACAGTGACTGCAGCAATGGTTTCAAGTCAGAGATGATGAAAATGGCACAGGATAGGACAGGGTTCAGATCTGTTGTTCATAAAGGTGTTAGGAGTCACACTCAACTCTATGGCCCTCTAACAACAACATATGTAATCTCAGGGTAAAAGCAACCACCTGATGAAGGGTAATTTTTAAGAAATGGTTACATTTTCAGAAGCACCACCTTGTTCAGGTGAGAATTTTTCTCCAAAATCAAATTAAATCATGTATGGTTTGATAAGAATTATTTTTATAAATATCAATAGCCCCCACATTAGTTGTCTTTAAAATACTAGTAATTAGGAATGTTGTCATTGTTACTGTGTCCCGGAGAGTCAGAACCAAACCATAGCTGACCCTCTGGTGGCTTTTCAGAAGCAGTTAATTGCTCAGAAGGAGATTGCCCAGCCTTCCCTTGCGAGCAGCAATGTAAAAGTAGAATTATAGACCTGAGTGAGGTTCTGAAAATGTAAAAGGATAGATAGTAAAGAAATCACAGTTTTAGTCTTCCTTTATTTTTTCTTTCAATTCTTTTTATTTATTGTAATTTTAATGAAAGTTTATAGAGACTTTGGATTTCCATTCATTCATTGTTGCACCTTTGCCTCCCTGCCCACCCCTCCCCCAAGTTGGTATTTCTCTTTGAAAAGTACAAAAAACCCCAACTTTATTATTATACAGTCCCTACCTCCCCCAGTCCACTCCACCATGCAGTTCTCATTCTGGACTTTTGTCATAAAAATAATACCTAGTCATATATTGCTTTCAAACAGTTCTCTCCCTCATCTGTTTCAATGTAGTATACATTATTTATCCCCTCTTTTCTTAGTTTCTGCCCAACCTCAACATCAGTCCAGTTTTACAACAGTGGCATTATGCAGTATTTGTCCCTTTGTGACTGAGATACTTCACTCAGCATAATGTCCTCCAGGGTTACCCCTTTTGAATAATATTGCATGAGTTCCTTGTTTTCCAATGCAACATAGTATTCCAATGTGTGAATATACCACAGCTTCTTTATCCATTCATTTGTTGATGGGCATTGGGTTGTTTCCAACTCTTAGATATTGTCAACAAAGCCACAATAAACATGGGTTTGCAAATATCTGCTTGGGTGGCAGTTCTGGTTTCTTCAGGATATATTTGCAGTAGTTAGTCTTCCTTTTTCTTAGAATGCAACAGTCATTCTGATTTCAATTCATCAGATATTTGAATGCTTACCATTTTCCACATTTTATACTTGTGCAAAAAAAATGAAATTAAAACTAGATAGACCTTTTTCTCCATATCATGTCAGAATGCTGAAAATCAAGCATAACTAGAATGTCTTCCTTGGTGGACATAATCCCAGGGATTGTACATATAGTTGTTGCTGTTAGGTGCATCAAGTAGAGTATGACTCATAGTAATTTTATGAACAACAGATCTGAACCTTTTCCTATCCTGTGCCATCCTCACACACAGATAGTAAAAATATTTTTTAACTGCATTTCTATTTTTGCCTTTGGGAAAAATTGGATTAATTGTGGCTTTCAGTTTTATTTATGGAAGCATTTCCAGGTCCAACTAAAATATTAATGTTTTCATCCTGTTCATTTTCTACTGTGCTAATGTGACCTGGTATGGCGCTCTCTCTTAGCTGACATTGATGAGAGGAGGATCTATTATGTCTTAAAAGAGGGCAGCAATGCAACAAGGGACGTCTTCTATTTCTCTGTCAAAGACAACGGTAAGTCAATATTGACCCCTTACATAAGATCTGTGATTAATTAAAATCTATATGAAATTGAAAAAAAAATACATTAGTAATTTCTAGCCATTACAATTAGTTGGCAATAGCATATGTGTCTATTAAATTAAAATTTTCAGTTACCAATAAATAATGTTTAAACATAACTAGGGAACTCCTGTGTCCTAGTGGTAAGAAGCTGTACTGTAATCCCAAAGGCACACAGTTCTAAGCCACCAGCAGCTCTCATGCAATTTACTGCCTCTGAAAACCCACTGGAGGGTCAACTACAGGTCAGTTCCAATTCGACAACACACAACAAAAATATAATCCTATGTAAATTATTCATGATAAGCAAGTTTTCAGGAAGAGAAAGAGTGAGGAATTGAGATATGATGCCCAATAATTTGTGTTGTAACTCTAAAAACCATACCTGTGGTTCTAATCCCATGATTGTCTTTGTTATGTTAATAAGGTAAGTTTAGCGTAGAATGTGTTTTGAAGCAATTTTAAAAATTACTTAAAAGAAATTAAGCAAACTGAACTGAGTAGAGCAGAGATGGGGAAAGACAGATGGCAAACCAAATACAGATCAACCGGCAACAAAAGCACTACTGCACTCCTACCAAACAAACAGATCTTAGTATCTTAGAGTTTTGATGGTGGTTTAGTCGTATTTGGCATAGAATTGAAAATGTAACTTGAATGTAAACACGCTGCAAATGTTGAATGTATAACTAGAAATATTTTTTTCTCTCAATGTCAAATACCCGTTGTAAATGAACCTTAAACATCACATTCCTCCTTTGCATAATAAAATGTCTTTATAATATAAACTCATTATTTTACTCTTCCAAGATAATAAACTGCCCAAAAAATTAGGAATCATTTTCTTGTTATCACAGGTGTCAATATTTTTCTGTATTTTGTTTATAATTTTATTTTTTAAGTAAAAGATTTATAAAAACAAAAAAGCAAAAGTTCAATATTTTCCTCCACAGACAATAGAGAAACAAGCCTTCTCCGAGAATTTACACACTAAATTAGGACGAAACTGAGAAAATGACTTTGATTATTAAAGCCACCCATTTCTGACATTTCTGTTTTAGCAGTTCTTGATAGCCAAGACAGAAAGCAACAAGAATTTCAGTAATGAAGCATGAAGTATTTTATCTGACCTGGATTCTAAGTGAATCTGTTCTTCAGGAGGTCCTGAAACTGTAGCTGATGGCTTCTTATTCACTCTTAAGCTAACCACAAAGCCCACTCTTAGATTTTGTTAGTAGGCTTTTACCTGCCAGAATGGACTCTTAGGAGCTCTAACGATCTTGGAATTCTAATCTTCTCGGGCTGAATAAAAAGTATGTTTATGGACCAGCATGTTGTTGTTGTTAGGTGTTGTCAAGTCAACTTTGACTCATAAAACATTAGGTCTGGCTGAACTTGCCCTCTCCTTAGTCACTCTCACAATCTCTGATATGCCTGAGCCCATTGTTGGAGTTGAATGGCAAAGAAGAAATGAAAACTCACCCCCATTCCCAAATAAGCTCTTTATGCCCAACTCATGTTTGTCCATTATGTCTCTAAAGTAGCATGTTGCTGTTGCTGTCATTGTGTGCCATGGAGTCTGAACCAACTCAAAGCTAGCTCTTCAGCAGGTTTTGTAAAGCACATAGAAAGAGATTGCCGTCTTTCTCTTGGGGAGAAGCTGGTGGAATTGAACCTCGTGCCTTTGTGTTGGCACCACAACTTCTTACCACTAAGCTACCAGAGCTCCCTAAATTAACATAGTGAACAGAAAGCTCATGGAAGGTGCTTCCTTTACACAGCTAAGGATGTGCTGGTTGTGTAGTCAAAAGGAAAATTCTTTTTTGCAGTTTGATAGATTAATAGCAGAAATGACATGCAAAGGTTTGCCACTGATTAACCTTTACAACATAAATTATTATTCATTTCCACTGAGTAACATTTTCTTTCTAAATAGTGTGCAATCAGTCACAGACTATTTCTTGAAAAGACGTACTATGTTAGAAGATGGTGTTTCCTTTTCCTTATCTATAACTTGCTGGTATTCAAACCTATCTCAAAGTATTGCTAAAAGAATAAGTATTATAGTGTATGTAGTGCCCTTGGCATATCTATTGTGGGGTTTTATTCTGCCTGCCACAGTTTGAAGAAATCAACACACAGTAAGTTGGGTTTTTTTAAACTTTTTTTTTTCCACAGTAGCATTTAGATCCATTCCTGGCACATAGTAAACATTCAGTAAACCTTGATACTACCAGAATAACAATCTGAAATCTCAAAATTGGGACATACAGGCGAGCTCTGGTGGCCTAGTGTCAAGAAACTACACTGCACTCCCAGAGGTGTGTGATTCAAATCCACCAGATGCTCTTGGAGAAGGAGAAACAATCTCCTCCTGTACCAGTCAGATCTGATTTGACAGCACACACACAAATGATAAAAAGAAAATGAAAATTTAAAAAAATTTTTTAAAAAATTGGGACATACAGACTACATTTAATAAACTTTGTTATTATTAGAATAATAAACCTGGAATACTACATTTTGTAATTACTTTCTGATAAAAAAAGTAGTTTAATAGTATACTCTTCCAAAGCTTTCATTAGAACAATTAATGAAATAGGATCACCTTTTAAAGTGACTTTTTAAGTGACCTATTTTGTTAACATGTTACCTAGAACCCTTGATTTCGCCTCTTTTTTTGCTTCACAGTTTTAAAACGACTTAATTGTTCTAAGTCCTCCAAATGAGTAAAAGGAGAAGAAATAACTCCAATTCACTATTGTGGTCTTTGAAGCTACATGATGAACTATTGTTGTAAGGGATTCTTTTGTCTATGCACACCTTGTTTCCTGTATAAACTGGCCCCGTTTTAAATTTCTGTGTTATAGTTAAATGAAATAATATATACTAAAAATGTATTATGATTCTGAACATACAGCAGTCTCCCAGTAAATATTAATTCTTCTCTTCTTTCCTTTAACTTAACTATGAATACAACTATATTCTTGTACACAGCTTAACTGGCAATTTAAATGGAAATTTTTGGCAATTTGCCTGATTTGTGTGAATCATTAATTTCTACAGTTTTGAGTGATCCAGACTGAAGCTATTTTCAGTGCAGCCTTGCTTTTTAGCATTGGTGGTAAACGTCCTTACATTCAAGGTTATTATGATAGCCATCAAGAGAATTGTGAATACATTTCAGGTTTCTAAAACTCTGAATCATGCCAATTAAGCACACTGTCAAGTTCATTACATTTCCCCTTCTTATAGTCATAAGCTTGTATTACTTTGGAATAGCTCTATAATATGTATGAGTAAGGAATGAATGAATAAAGACAATGATCAAGGAAAACGAAAGAAGAATTGACACATTTGAATTATGGAAATAAAAAAAGGAGTATGGAAGAATTAACACATTTACATTGTGGCGTTGATGAAAAATTGTTAATATCTCATGGGCTGCCAAAGAGCAAATAAACCTATCTTAGTAGAAATAAAGCCAGAATGTTTTTTAGAAGCAAAGAGTACTATATTTCATCTTACATGTCTCAGACATATATTATTAGGAGAGATAACTCCATGCAGAAATGCATCATGCTTGGTCAAAACAAAGGATCAGAAGAAAAAAAGAAAGAAAAAGGGAAGAACAACATGAATCCAGAAGATTGTCTATAAGATGGATTGATACAGTCACTGCAACAATGAGATTAAACATCAAAATGACTGAGAATGCAGCAAGACTGGGCAATGTTTTGTTCTGTTGTACATAATAATATCACTGTGAATCAGAACCAATTCAATAACTAGAACACTTATAATAGTGAAGGAGCATTCTTCACTTAATATAATGTTGCCCTCTACTTAAACAGCACATATTTCTGCAGAATATGGGATCGTCTAAATGGTTAAAACATACAGCTGACACATTAGAATCTCTAGTCTACTCAGAGGCACTTCGGGAGAACAGCCTGGTCACCTACTTCTGAAAAATTAGCCATTGAAAACTGTGACATCAAGTTCCACCCTGACACAGGGGTTTGCTATGAGTTATAGTTAGCTGTACAGCAATTGTTTTCTGTTTTAATATTTCTACAAAATGATTTGTCAGTTTTGTTCCCTTGGACTCTTACTGTAATGTGAGGTAGCAACTGTTGTTAAAAATTTTTAATGAGAAAATAAGCCAAAGGTATTAAAATTACTCATACAAAATGACTCAGGAACCAATTAAATTCTGCTTTTTAATATATCAAATTTAATAGCTAGAGGAGGGTACAAGTATTTTAATTTTGTAATATATTGTAGATACTTTCTTCTTAAAACTGCAGACATATTGTTTCCTTGTTCTCTTAAAATTTTTTCTGTATTTAAAGTCACTGCTCTTCAGCACTCTGGAGATACTATCCTTGACAGCAGATTTTCCTTATATAATTTGTATTTTGATTTCCTAATTGCTGGTGCCAAGAGTGTTGATTATGGAATTGAACAAACTGAAATTGTTAACAATTTTAATCTCTTCTCCCTCTATCATGTTGCCAATTCAGTCAGTGGTAAGAATCTTTGTTTTCCTGATGTTGAGTTGCAATCCATATTGAAGGCTACAATCTTTGACATTTTGCAGCAAGTGCTTCAGGTCCTCTAAGTTTCAGCAAGCAAGATTGTGTCATCTGCATAATGTAGGTTGTCGATGAGTCTTCCTCCAATCCTGATGCCACATTCTTCCTCATAAAGTCCAGCCTCCCAAATGATCTGTTCTTCATATAGATGGAAAAGTTATGGAGACAGGATACATCCCTCATACACCCCTTCCTTGATTTTGAACCATGTAGTGTTTCCTTGTTCTGTTCTAACGACTGCTCCCTGATCCAAGTATGTTTCACATGAGCACAATCAAGTGTTCTGTCTATATAGAGAAAGATGGGGCAGGTGGAGAGAAGGAGAGAGAGAGAGCATTCCCCAGTGGCCTGATG